TTTGACAACAACATTAGCCTTTGTGACATCTAAACATTGTATATTGCCATGCTAGCTTGTGCTCGCCCCTTCAATGTTCTACATTCGCCTAGTTATTGGGCGAAGCCCACTAAGATGAGTAGAGTTTGTTTGTTTGTTTGTCTGTCTGTACACGTACGTATTCCGTATGTCCTCTATATAGCCGCACATGCATAGCAGTGCAATAGATTCTAAATTTCAATATTTCATTGAAAATGGGTAGTGGTGGGCGATACTGGCCAAAATGGATTCGATACGATACCGATCGATATCAGCTCATATCGAGAGTATCGATACAGTTTCGATACGATATTTAGACCACACCTATGGAGTCACACCCCTTATTATTGACTGTTTTCATCAATGTTTTCATGCACGTGTATCCACGTGTGTGTATTATACGTCATTAACTTATTAAAATTTTCATTATTAATATTATTTAACCATAATAAATGGGCGTGGTCAACGTATCGATCTAGATTCCTTCAAAATTTCGATACCGATACGAATCGATACCGTAAAATATCGTTTGTATCGATAAAATATCGATATATCGCCCACCACTAAAAATGGGAGTGGCCGAAAGATAATAAAATGGCGATCAGCACACTGGAATCAGAAGTCATGATTTTCCTACTTCCTAGCAACAAGATAAGGCAAAAACCCCGTCCAAAGACTTCTCCAACTGCTTGAAAAGGTTACAGGTGCAATTAAGTAACTATGAAACTTCTTTTTGTTGAGAAAATCAAACAAATGTCACATTTGTCACTGACTGCATTAAACTGGCCAGCCTTTTTATATCTTATGGCTATTTTAAAGTCAGTGTAGCAAGGCTTAAAGTAAAAAACAAGTCAGGAGTTTTCTAGCAGCACCATAAAGTTGAGATTCTGCTTTTCCCCAGCTAATAATCTACGAGGCTGAGCCCTTGAATGTTTTACATTGTTTCTAGTTATTATTATTATTATGTAGAACTGAATAAAAATTATGCTTTTATATTATTGTGTGTAAAATTATGTCTATTATTTTTATTAGCCAGCAAATTTTTATAATTATATCAAAATAGTTCATTTTTAGCTGCTAATTTTTGTTTTCAGTGAGAGTGAGCAATCACAGGGCGTGGGCGACCTAATGCTCGCGCCGTCGCGCGCCAGAGGAGGTTCGACCATAATAATTAAATATTTGGCAACATGGCGGCAATAATAACTACTATTCCCTTTTGCCTCATAAAGAGATTAAGCGGGGTACATGGACGCTAATAAGGTCACGCTTCTTAAAATGCTTTTGGAAACCATTTGGAGGAACAAAAACTACGGGTACACGAGTCAAAAACTGTGTTCCATTTATAATAAAGGCTCACGTGAGGCTAATTAAGTGACCTTTGACCCTGT